CGTCGTGTACCTTGCCGGACCAACCCACATTAATGTCCGTGAACTGTCCCCAGTGGTCACACACGGCCTGTAGGAGCACGGAGAAGTACCCCTTTCGGTTGATGTACTGGGAGGCCTGGTGTTCCGGGGCATGGATGGGGATGTGCATCCCATCGATGGCCACCCCACAGTTGGGGAAGCCAAAGGCGCCAACCCCCAGATGACAGTGTCCTGGTCGGCGAGGTGGACCACCCTGTGGAGCAGCACCTGATTATTGGCCTTGACCACCTGCAGAGGGATACAGCAAACTGCGAATCACTGGGGTGCCCGGGTGGCTGGGACTGTTCCTGCCCTGGCACTGCCAAGTGCCCCACTCCTGAAAGCAACCCCCCCGGGCGGCGTGTAGTACGGCCGGTACAGACCGACCCCTCCAATGCGGGGCACTTTCGCCTCCTCCCCTCCCCCATTTTCCCTGGGGCGGCCCATCCCCTTCTTGAAGCCCCCCTTCGTCCCGGCCCAGTGGCTGGTGAGTGCTGTACCTGTATGAGCGCTGCTCCGACGGTGGATCTCCCCACGCCGAACTGGTTTCTGACGGATCGGTAGCTGTCCGGCGTGGAGAGCTTCCAGAGGGCGATGGCTACATGCTTCTGGAGGGGATGGCGGGGCTCATGCGAGTGTCCCGTCGCCGCAGAGCAGGGGCGAGCCACTCGCAGAGTTCCAGGAAGGTGTCCTTCTTCATCCTGAAGTTCTGGGTCCACTGTCTGTCTCCCCAGCGCTGCAGGACGATGCGGTCCCACTAGTCACAGCTGGTGTCCAGACGTCAGATGAGGTGGTGCACGCTGGCGTCCGGGCGCTGCTGCGGATCCTCCTGGCCCCCAGGGAGGCCAGGTGGAGAGGCAGGGGGCAGATGGGCACCAGGTGGTGCCAGGCAGCCTCCAGCCATTGCTGGCAGGATTGCAGCAGCAAGTCCAAAAACTGCACCAGAAAGCCCAGGGCGAGCTCTGGCTCCATGTTGCCAACTGTGGCGGAGGCCCCAAAGGGAAGCACCGACACAGACAGGCGCAGAGAAAAATGCTTTGCTGTCCCTCGGCAAAGTAGGCAAGCAAGTGGAAAAGCTGAGAACTGGCTGTCCAGGACGGTCACTTTAAGCACGAGCCTCAGATAGCCTCAGACAGCAGCCAAACAAAGGCCTCAGATAGCCTCAGACAGCAGCCACACAAAGCAACTACTGACCTGATGCCCTGCCAAAACCGTTTTCAGCTGCCCTTAAGTGTGCCCCAGCGTCCAATCAGTGTGGATGCGCTAGTTAGAATTAGCAAAACACTAATTCGAACTAGTTTTTAAGTCTAGATGCGCTAATTCGAATTAGCTTAGTTCGAATTAACTAATTCGAACTAAGTTAGTTCGAATTAGCGCTGTAGTGTAGACATACCCAAAGGGTTTATTTTTCGACAGATCCTTGTCTAGACTGCCTTTTTTTTTAGAAAAAGCTCCATGTCAAAAAAAAGCAGCGGCCATCTTTATGCTAATGAAGCACGGGTTATTTAAATCCCTGCTTCATTAGCTATTTTGACATGCCTAATCTACATCTCTGTGTCGACAGAGGGGCGTAGTCTAGACACAGCAAGTGAGTTTCCTATTATGTAGACTACACTGTCCTCTGCAGTTCTGATTTTAATGGAGAACATGTGCCTGTGTCTTGCAGACAAAGAGGTAACTGTATAATTTTCCATTTGTAAAGCTGGAAAGTGTCTCAGGTATTCCAATGCCAATTAACAACAAATGACACGAATTGGGCCCTTAGAAAATCATGATATTTAATAACGAATATCAATTGAGTTCCTTTTTAATTTGTTGTTGTTGTTTATAACCAGAGGAACAACATTCTTAGATAAAATCATGACTACCAGAGTTGGACCTAGAAGAGAAAACACTAAATATTATGAGGCTCTGTGACTGGGTGGACCAGGTCCCAAAGCCCCCTGCTGGAGTCTTGTGGCCTTGCCACATCCCACCCCAAGAAACAATAGAGAAGTCCTCCAGACAAGCTAGAGTAGTGCAAAGGAAGCAAGAAATCAGGGCCCAGCAAGCTATTTAAAAGGAAGCTGCTAGGCCAGAGTCAGGCAGTTCCTCTTTGGAGCTCAAGAAGTCAGGCAGTTCCTCTTTGGCTGGAGGGCTGGGTCACAAGAGAGTCACCATAGCAGAGAGTGCAGGCAAATGCACTTGGCCAGAGGGAGTCACTTTCATGATGGGAGGGCTACCCCATCACAGGCTTGGAAATGATGCCACCCCTGGATGTGTGATATCATTCTCTGTGGGAAGATTGAATCACTGAGCACTGAAAAGTTAGGAAATACAGTTAATGTCTCCATTTTTCACCAGGAACCAAATTTAATGGACTGTTATAAGAAGTCCTGTTTACTGCACTGACACTTTCTAGTGTCAGGTCAGAGTCTATGAGACCCTTGGTTTAGAATCAATCCATTTTATGTCTTTATGCCTCTGATGCAAAGGGGTCCAGATTAGTAGTAGAAGCTATATGGAGAATTCCCTCCCTTCTAGCTTGGCATAATCTGTAACCTAGGTCACACCAGCACCCATGTTACTCAAGAGACAGGTGGCAATCCTCTCTGCACCAATGCGAACCTGCCCCTGAGTGTGCCGTATCCCTCTTTCTCCCTTTCTCTCCCCACATTTCTCGACCACCATGAATCATTGATTCTTGCTGTTCAAGCTATGGGGGAAGGAGAAGAAGTGGGAACAGAGTGTGAATCAGCTGATCCACAGTGCTCTGAAAGTGCTGGGAAAGAGGAGGGAAGAGTAGGTAAGTGCAGAACCCCAAGTCACATGGCAGTCGGGGGTAGGTCACATGTAGAACCCCAATGGGCTACATGCTGCCACAGGCCACGGGTTGCCTACCACTGCTTTACAGTAATGTAATATTGCATGGAAGACCCAGATGACGTGTACTTGCAGCAGGACTTGTTTCCTAGTGTGGTGACTTATATTGTAATTAGTGCACACACAGCCAGCTGAATATAATTATATAGGTTTAATAAGGTATCAGAGATTTTTACAGCTTTAGTTTTTAAATTTTCTAAGTGAAAATTGAATAATAATGAGTAACTTATAATTCCTAGTAATAGAGAACATGACAAAGTCATGGACGCTGAAGAACTTAATTACTTATGTGATTTTCATAAGATGTGTCTATTCATCCAAATAAAGCTCCTTATTTTTTGTTTGTAATTATCTTTCTGTAGTTTTCCTGTTAAGTTACCAATCCCTCTCTGAGTCGAAGAACAGCAGAAAATTCATGCTCTGGGAATTAAAGGGACTTGAGAGGTAATATTTATAACTCCCTTTGGGAAAACATGTTAATGTCAGAGTTCAGTATCTCAGAAGCTTCTAAACTTATTGGGAAAGATTTTAGGAAATTTCAAAATATGATTTATGTATAATACTTGCAAATATGCATGAATATCTACATCACTGAGATGTCCAATAGGTAGTTTTTCACAATTCTTTAGTTCCCAAACATTTTCATATTTAATACTAGAAGATTTATCCAGCACTGCTTGGGACCTTAATTAAAGTAAGGTTCTTTTTCTTCATTTAAATCATTGTACCTGGGATGAGGAGTTCAGCTGTCCCGGGGGAGAGAAAACAACCTCAGCCCTCTCTCACTACAGCAACTTGAGGTAAGATGAGAAGAACCTGTCCATGATTGCTGCAGCTGGCACAACTGGGGAAAGGGTGCATGTTCCCCAGGTGGGGGACAGACAGACACACAAACAAACAGACACACAAACTCACTCTTTGAAATATGTAGATATAAATATATATCTATCCCTTTCTCCACCCCTGCCCTTACTGGACCAGTAGGGTTATAGCTGTACTGGTCCCCATCTGTGGCACCTTGCTGCCCTACTGTTGTCATTTTACAATACATCTGGCTCTTACCAGACCCCTCCCTTTCCATTTTATAAGAAACAATTAAATTCCAGTTCCATCCCATTGTATTGGCACAACTAAATTGTGACCTTGCTTTATGTTAGGATAAGAGGAAGCTGTGTATCAAATTTGGTGATCCTAGCTTTTATCATTTAGGAGGAGTTCTTGAACAAATGAACTCACAGACAGATAGACAACAAGACAGACAGACATGCACATTTCTAAGATATATGGTAAGATTTATGAGCATTTTCTTGTGAGCTGTGAGCTTTCTAATTTAACCACAATACCTGGTATTATGTATGTTCTATCTCCCCTTCAAGGCCATTAGAAACATCTAATGATACATTATGGAACACTCTGAAAAGCAGAGTTTTTAGGGGTAATTCTGTTCTACTTCAGTTTTTTATTGCCATTTTGCAATACTGAAGCTATTTGCAGGAAAATACAACCTTTGTTTTTAAGAGTTCATATCGTCCCGCTGATTATCATCTCCTAAAATAATAATCTTCTGTTTGTGATATCACAGTTGGTTACCAGGGAAATTAACATGAACCAGATCATAAAAGTGGCTAAATGTGTTGATTAAAGAAGTTTAAGATAGGCAAAGGGAAAAGGACAATTTTGCTGGCTGTTATCAGAGGGCTGGATATTGTGAAGGGATTTGGTATTGAATTATGTTGTGGTGATGAGAGTAACAAAGGGAAGAGATGATAGCTTTTGGAGATAAGAGTTTCAGTACCCAAGTACACCCTTTGGCAAGCCAAACAGCAATATATAAGTGTGTCTGAAGTGTGCAGAGCTTCATAGTGCCACCACGGTTCCTGGGGCTTCTTAACCCATTTCCAACATCATGTCATAACTGACCAGAAAGGAGAATTTGTATTGATACAAAATTGGTGATGGGCAGTGGCAGTTTCTGGGAGGCTTTTTTCCTGATAAAGTTTTTAAAAGCTGAGCCCATCTCCTGCATTCCTCATGGAAGAGAGAAAGAAGTGGTGAAAAGTGATAATATGACATAGTGAAAAAAATGGTATGAGAAACTTAGCTAGATTCATTGAGCAGAGGCTTCTTTCTTTTTTCTTCTGGAGGAAAGAGGGAACCCCTGGAGAGACCAATCTTCCTTTGGAGGAGAGGAGAACTAAGAACAGACACATCTTCTTCCCAGTCAGGTTCTGTTTCTGTTTCACACACTGTCTGGAAAGGTCTAAAGCTCCCCACAGAGGGATCAGTTTCTCATTCTGTTGGGCACTGTACAGACATGCAACAGAGAGAAAAAAGTCCCTGCACTGATGAACGCCACGATGGATGAAACAGACAAACAAGTAGATGAAGCAAACAATCAGGTAGCATAGGTGTGAGTGATATAACAATAATATAAGCGTATTCTTGCTTAGATTATCTTTGGCCACAAAGTCATTTGTTACTTGTCTTGATATAATCCACTGTCAGCAATTAGTAGGTGCCACAGAAGAAGGGACTCTTTAGAGGGATTTTTTAGAAACAGTGGTGCCAATATTTTTTTCAGGAAGTTTAATAACATCCAGAAGTGTCACCTTGACAGAAACACTAAGCTGATTATGTAAGAACCAGACCAGTGGACAGTACTAAGGATACTCAGACCTGGGCATTTCCCATCACATACCCACCCTCTACCACTACAGAACTATTAATAACAAATTATCAACACTACCACCACCAACAGTAGGTGAAGGGATCACTGGCAGAGCATAGGAGATGACTGCTTTTGCCATAAAGTGATAGTTTCGACACAGAAGGAAAGTAAATTTTAATGCAGAAATATTATGCTTTTTATTTCTGTATTAAACATATGAGGAAATGTTTATTTTCATATGTTTAAATGCAAAATTTAGTTTTTGCTTAAAATTGGTTCTAAAATCACTTCCCCCTTTTTTTTCCCCCGGAAGACCATTTCTTCACCATGAACTGGACAATCTGCACCGAAGAACTCCCCCTTTTTTTTCTAAAAAGAGTGACATAAATAAATAAAGTTTTGTGTGGAAATGAGTTTAGCTTTGTGTTTGTGAAAAATTCTTGAATTTAGAACTGTTTCTGAATTTCTTCTAAAACTTCACACATTTCCAGTTATTGTGTCAGAAAAAAAAAGCTTGTAGGATTCTAAGGCTATGTCTAGAAATACTCCCAGAAAAACTCCGCCACGTCCAGGGAACACATCTGCTCTTCTGACATTTTTTGCGGAAGAGCAGATGGGCTCTTTCAGAAGCCCTGTTTTCCTTGTTTCATGAGGAAGAAAGATTCTTCTGAAGGAGGAGGTTTTTCTGACATGTGGCCCAGTGTAAACGAGCCAAATTTCAGAAAATCCTCCTCCAAAAAAATGATTGGAAAAAGGTAGGCAAATTACGGAGCACTCCGTAATTTGCCTACCTTTTTCCAACAAAAAGCAGCAGTCTAGACATAGCCTAAGTGGGTAATAAGGAACAAACACAGATCTAACACCTAATTTATTATTGTGTCACTACTTTTCTACACTAGTATATCAATTTCAATTGCACTTCGCTGGGTTCATTAAATGGTGAATCAGGCCCTTAGTTTTTCCTTAAATTTTAATAGAAGAAGAAGAATTATGCTGTAGACAGGAAAATATATATATATTTTCTGAATATTATGTGTTTCATTGTCTTCCATGGGCCATTATCATTTCTTTAAAGTGTGGCAGACGGATGGCAGTGGGCTGCAGTAGGGCAAGTACACTAGGCGTTGGTTGTGTGGGTTCATGTTCTCAGAATAGGCTGTCAGGTCAGGCTGCCACCTGAAACTCAGGAGCCAACCTGCAGAAGAGCCTAATGGAACATGTACTGCCAGTTAAGGCCTGCTTGCCCACTATAAAAGGGTTCCCTTCAGGCAAGGCAGGGGGAAGGAGAAGAGGGATAGACTGCTGCAGTGGAGGAAGCACAGAGAGTGAGACAAACTGCAATTGGCAAGCAGAAAAGGTTTTTCTCAAGACACCAGGAAGAAGGTACAGCAGGAGTGGTTGGGGAAATGGCCCAGGGAAAGGTACTATTTGGTGGAGATAAGGACAAGACCCTCACTAGCAGCCACTACCTACGGTCCATTGGCTGGAACCTGGAGTAAGTGGGTGGGACGAGGTTCCCTCCAACTCTTCCCATGTCCAATGGGCTGCCACAAGAAGGAAAAAAGGTGGACTTTTGGACCCCTCCAATCTAGTGACTGGCCAATAATGAAAAGGGCTCATTAGGCAAGGAACCCTTGCTTCTAAAAAGAACCGAGAAGCAGTGGGAAAGTCATTGAGAGCCTCTAAAGCATCTTAAAATCCCCCAGGAAGTGCAGGACCCAGGGGGCACTACCAGAGCCCTGCCACAGAAGATTATAATTAGGTACCATATTCTTCTGTAGCTTGGATGCCAAAAACAATTTACAAGCCAATCTATCTTCAAAACAACCCACAAACTGTAACCTCCTTTTTTGCTGCCATATCAATTTATGACATAAATATGGCACTGCCCAGGAGATCGATAAGACAACTGCAGACTCAAGAAGGCAAATGAGACTTGATGAAATAAGGACATGGGTACATACAAAAGATGTACAACCTATGGGAATGCAAGTCAGAACCTAGACAAAGCACTACAGGTGCTATTTGCACCATTAATCTTAAGTCTCTGGTTGTCTAAACAAAGCAGATGAATGACTTTATATCAGGATATTTTAGCAAAAATCCCTCAGACAGAAGAGCTTCACTTGGATAAGAAGGCCACTTTCACTCCTCTAGAAGGCCTTTTTGGAAAGGATGCCATTCTCTCGCTCTCTCCGTTGTGAGTTGCAGATCCACCTTAAACTTCAGTCTCTTTTGTTTAGAAGAAGGAGCTATCTGCACGGCAGTATCACAGACACTCTTGACAGGAATTTACCCTCATGTTCCAGCATAGCTACTGTGATTGCAAAGAAAAACCTCATAACAATTTAATGTGGACAATGAAGATGCACTCAGTGGTTTGTATTATGATTGATTGAAACACAATTGAGTTCATCAGTGCAGACAAGGCCATAGGAGAAATCCTACCCAATGTGTTCTCAATTGTACAAGGCACTGCCGTGTGTGTGTGTTTTCAGTTAGTAAGAAGCAGGTAAATAAAAGAAAGAAAGAGACGAGAAAACATTTTAACGTATTATGACAGATTTTATAAGCCGATTGTCAGCTTTCCTATGCTATCTTGTTTTTAATTAGACAAGTAAATTCCGAAGTGTAAAGTTTGCAGAACTTGCATGCTGCTAGAACAGTTTAAGAAGTGATATAAAGAGGCATACTGCAAAACTGTTTAAATGGAGGGCCAGATTTTCCGCAAGTATAAATCAAGGGTGTGTCTAGACTGGAAAGATTTTGCGCAAAAGCACATGCTTTTGCGCAAAATCTTGCCACCTATCTACACTGGCTGCGAGTATTTACACAAGAACACTGAGTTTGTACTGTACTAAATCAATGGTTCTTGCGCAAATACTCCAACGCTCCCGCCAGTGTAGACAGCCAAGTTAATTACTTGCACAAGAAAGCTCCAATGGCTATTTTAGCCATCGGGCTTTCTTGTGCAAGAGAGCGTCTACACTGGCACTGATGCTTTTGCGCAAAAGCATCAGTGCCAGTGTAGACGCTCTCTTGCGCAAATACTTTTAACGGAAAACTTTTCTTTTAAAAGTATTTGAGCAAAATCATGCCAGTCTAGACGCAGCCTAATTGAAAATAATAAAGT